TTTAAAAACTACATAATTTTATATACATAAATCTAGTAAAATTCATTTTAAGCAAAACTTTGTTGTATCAAAAAAAATTCATTATAAAGAAAATTCATTATAAAAAAGTCATTTTATATATAAATTTTTCTGACTTTAATTCGTTAAATGTAATACGAATTTTTAATTACTAAATTCAGTATAGTAGTATATAGTAGTGTTTTTTTATATTTAAAAATCTGTCTGATACTAAAAATCCGTTGTATTGTAAAATTTGTTATATCAAAATTTGTTGTAGAAAGAGTTGACTGTAATGTGTTTTATTGGACTTTAAAACAACATCTAATAATTAATGTTTTAAAAAATAATTTATCAATTTTCAATAATGATTTTATTGAAAATTTTTATAGTTCTTTAAGATATCAAACAGCAGAATTTAATTTAAATTCATAAATTATTCAAAAAGTAGAAATTATTGATGTTGAAAGAAATAACTTTTTTTTTGAAAATTCATTTGTTAATTTAAGAAATCCAGCTAAATCCAAATTAATAAATTAAAATTTTTAGAAAAAATAGTTTTATTATTTCTAATATCAATTTTTGATAAGATTTATCAAAATTTAGGAAATACAAAGCAAATTGATAATAATAAATATCCAAAATTTATCTTTCAAATTTTGATATAAAAGTAGATATAAAGTGCTTCTTTTAGATTGGAATACTCAAAAAAGACCTACTGATAATAAATTTTGTGATGTAGATAATTGTTTATTATCAAATAATATAGATTTATTTAATAGAATTGTTTTAATTTATAGATATAGTTTTCATCAAGAATGCTTAAGTATTTTATTTGATAAAAAATGTATTAATTATTTTTCATCTAAAATAGAAAGAAATATTAAATGTTTAAATAAGAGATTATTTGCATTTTTAAAAGAAAATAAAATTCTTTTATTTGAAGATAAAAATAATGATAAAGATGATGAAACTATAGAAGAAATATTAGAAAGAATAGAATATAATATAAAAAATTAATATAATATAATGTATCAATAATGTCTTAATTATGATAGCATATAATTTATATAAATAAACTTTTAATTTAATAAATTTAATTAATAATTATAAAATTAAATTGTAAAAGTTATTACTAGTAAAATTTACTTAATATTAATTCAATTTTAATAAAATTTAATATTAGAATACTATATAATTATATATATTTATATGTAAAATTTTAGTAGATATTATTATATAAAATTTTTTAATCAGAGTTAATTTACTAAATAATAAATTGATTTTGTCATTTTTTTTTATGTTATTGCAATCAGTTTGCTCTAATTAGTGATACCTGATGAAATTACTTTTCTTAATATGATGAAATTGACGAAACTAAAATAATAAAACTAGTTTTTTATTAATAACGAAATTATTTTACTTAATTACCGAAATTTTATTTAACTTGATCTAAATTTCTTGAATTAAAATACATTAAAAAATATAATAATTTTATATTTATTCATATAAAAATATTAAAGAGACGAAACTTTTAACAAAATTACAATTTTTCAAAAAAGAGTTTAGTTAGGTATCACTAGCTCTAATAAAAGGTATTCAATATTAATTTGATTTTGATAAAAATTGATATTATAATACATTGTAATAATATTTAACTATATATAAATTTAATGTATATTATTATGTAAGATTTTTCAATTAGAGTTAATTAACTTAAATAAAAATCATTTTATGGAGTTTATTATACATTGCTCTACAATAAATTATCGGATTTTATAAATTTTACTTAGTAATATATAGTAAAATTGAAGATTTTCAGATTACATAAAAGTTTATGAATTTTTAATAAATTTTACTTTAAATTTTTTTATTTAATAACCAATCAATTATAATTTAAAAATATAATTCAAAAATATTCTATTTATAAAATACTGAAAAAATACTCATTTGTAAAGTAATAGACAACATAATTTTATATATAATAATGCTAAAAATATATAAAAAAATTGTTACTTATACTTCAATATGAGAAAATTTTTTTATGTTCTAAAAAATTTCTTTTTTCATTTTAATATCTAAAAACTATAATTGATCAGCTATCAAATAAAAAAAAAATCAGATGACTTTTATTGAAACTTATAAACTTTTATGCAACCTAAAGATCTTCAATTTTACTATATATTACTAAATAAAATTTATAAAATCTGGTAATTTATTATAAGGTAGTATATGTGATAAAATAAAAAATGATTGGTAAATGATTGGTAAAATGATTTATAAAATATGATAAAATTAAGTATAACCACTATGCTATTTTACGAAAACTCTTTTCCCTGTTAGATTCAATCCAAGAATTTTTACGTAAAAAATGTGTTTATTCAAGAATGATTACAGTTTAGCCTGTGAACAAAACAAAAAATCACTCTTATCAAATTTATTCCTCTCTTTGTTACCCACATCCTATTCACATAAAATTGTCAAAATTGTCTAAACTGTATTGTTTTTTGTTAAAATATTTTTTCTTCATATATTTTTGGTATATTTTTTTCAGTTTTTCTTTTTTTTTCAAATTGCTACAAAAAAGTGGTCCTAACTAGTAATCAGGATCAATCTACTTTAAATAAAAAATCTCATGTAATAATACTCCCTTCCTTCCTAAACAGCAACTCTCTTTATGATTGGCTGATAACCTTTTATCAGATTTCTGATGTATAAAGATCATAAAATATCACATGATATTTTTCAGACTTATATAACTAGGTGAAGATTACAACTATTTACAGATTTTTTCAAATCAATTGCAGTATTATCTTTAGTTATATTATTTTATTGTGGAATTTTTTGTTATGAAAATCTTAGTTATAGAAATCTTAGTTGTATTTATCATTTTTATTATTAATGTTATCTTATAAAGAAATGTAGATGATTTAACTTATAATAATCTACTGATAAATGATATAATTGATTTGGAATTTTCAAATTACCAGATATAAGATGAATTATAAAGATATTCATCCTATTTCTCTAATTAATAAAGATGATTATAATCCTTATTAGACAAATCATATCAAAAAATATTTCAATCATCTAACAGAAAGCAAATTTTACTACTAAACATATGAAATATTTATATGGGTTGAAAAAAAGTTATTTATCAAGTTTTAAGAGATTCAGAAAACACACTTGCACATCAATGAATTAACTTTTTTTTTATTAAAAATTAAAATAATATAATTGTTAACTTATTATATTACAAATCAAATATTTTTTATATAGTATAATGTATATACAAATCATATTATAATTCACAATATAAGCTTAAATGCCCAAATCTATTTTTATTTTGAATTGTATCACGTAAAAATCAATTTTTGGTTAAAAAAATCTCGGAGCTCCATTTCCTAAGCTTACATACAACCCATATTTATTTTTAAATAAAATATATTCTATTTATAATAATTTAAATTGATGTTTTTATCGTATTATATTATTCGAATGATTATGTATAGTAAAGGAATAATATATCATTGTGGTGGCGGTTGTGGTGGTCTTTGATATCCACGTGATGTAGGTGAAAATGATATAGGCATTCCTTTGTTCCATAGGTTAGGAACAGGAGATGCAGGTTGTGAAATATCGAAATTTCTCGTCGATCCCAAAAGTACACTAAATACAGTAAATAAAATATAGGTATATAAGAAAGAGACTAATTATAGTAATAAAAAATAAAATAATCAAGTAATATTAACTTTGAAAATCGTTCAGCTTCTTTTCTTCGTTGAGTGGCAAAAGCTTGACAATTTTGCTTTAATTCATCTGCATTCGCTTGCGAACGAGCATAAAACTAAATATTTGTAATAAATACAGTAAATATAACGCGTATATATATATATATTTTATATAAAAAAAAAAGATTTATTACCGCCATTCCTTCCTGTAATCGTTGAAGTATATTAATGAAACATTTATATCCATTCCCAAGCATTTGTATAAACTGAGCTCGCTTCTGATTGGTCGACGCCATTCTTCGTCTTTTATTATACTCCTCGAATTTCTCCTACATAATGTTATAGTTAGTATTAGTAGGCAATAATATTTTAAGATATTTCATATGATATATGATATGAAATAGAATTTATAAGTACAGATATAGAAGCGAGCACGTTGTCTTGAATATCGGATAATTTGTTACTTGTCAATAAGTATTTATCATATTTTTTCAATTGTTCATTAAACAAATCTTCAAAATGAGCAGGTTCGAGTTTTATGGATGTGTTGCTAGCAGAAGTTATTTTGGCAGCTTCTTTAAGCAATATGGGAGCTAAAGTAAATAAATTCAGGAATGTTAGATATAATACATATATAAAAATATTATAGAAGAATGTTCAATATATAAACACGTACCAATATCATCTAAATCTGCAGTCTTTTTTACTTCTTGAATTTTAGTTTCGCATTCTCTCGTTATTTGGAAGGATTGATTTATTAAAGCTCGTAAATCATCTTTGATTTTTTGAACTCCATCTACATCATCTACATCAGATTCAGATGTTATTTCCGGAGGGACGCGTTCTTCCAGTATCTCCTAAAAAAAATGGCATTTAATTATACTGATATCTATAAGAATCTAAGTAATGCTAACTTACTCGATCAGAGCTCAATATATCTAAAGCTTCGGATTGTTGTTCCAATCCATTTTGAAGAATTTTATTACTTTTATAAGCCTGATCATAAACCTTTCTATAGCTTTCCGCTTTTTCAGTCAATTCTTTATTTGCTGACAATGAGGGAGGCCGAGTCCATTTTTCACCAAATTTATTTCTAAATTCTTCATCATCAGTGCATTCTTGATCCAAAAAAGCAAGCGCCTGTTATAAAACAATAATAATGAATGTTAAGAGGAATTCCCAACCGGATTATTCGAGTCGAATAATATTAGAAAAATTACCTCATCTAAAGTTTGATAGACAATTCTAGATTTATCTTGTAATGTATCAAACATGGCATTCAATCTTGCTAAACCTCCTTCATTACGAACTTCTCGAGACATAGATAAAATGGATGGTGGTATTTGTGAACGCTGATCAACCTCATTAAGTGCTGCGGGCAAGTTCAAAGACCGTAATGTACTAAATTTAGGCAGAAACAAATATTTCGTACATATAGATAAATTCTGACAAGAAGTGTGTATATATAATAAATATGTTACCTGTTACAAATATTTATCAACTCGTGAAGTTTAGATAAAATCTCATCCCTCACCAACTTTTCCTTACGATCGGAATATACACTATGAGCTTGATGAACCGCATAAGGGACGAGTTTTACAAACAAAGGTACACCCAAAATAGATCTTTCATTCATCAAAGAAATAGGGTCTTTAACTTCTGGTGGAATATTTGGAGTAGCCATATTGGCTTTACCAATAGAAGTTAATGACAAAGAGGATGGAACCATTTGAAGATAAATAATATCATTATCCTTCAGAGCTCGTTTAAGATTTGATTGTACGGCAGCCTGTACTGACTATAGAACATAAAAATAAATAAATACATATTTATTTATGAATTATAATTAAAAGGCTCTAAAACATTCCCATATGAGTAAATACCTCTAAATCTTTTATAACTGCTTCACGCAAATGTCTACATTGATCTAAACCTTTTTTAATATACTCTTGACAAACTTGCAACCTAGCGATTTCTTCACCATATTTATTCTGACTAATACATTCAGATGATTTCCTAAATTCTGCAGCTGCATGAAAATGCCAGGACTTAACTTGTAAATGTGTTAACCATCCCTGAGTACAATTCATGATGTTAGTAAATAAAAGGACGTATGTGAATAACTCCTTTAAGGTAAGATGTGAATGAATAACCTACTTGCCCAAATATATTTGCAATTTCTGAGTTATTTGAAGCAATCTCATGTGCATGTTCATAATATATGGATACTTGATTAGCTAACTTTGCAACCGTCCCATCCTTGTATTTGTCTTGATCCAATGCAAAACGGGTTGAATCAAAATGAATTCTTTTAATATGACAATAAAAAATTAAATTTAATTAAGTTTACCATGAACAGCCTTTTGCCAAAAGCATTCTTGAGCTTGTGCAAGCATCGTGTTAGTCAATACCTTTAACATGTCAGATGATAGATCTAAAGGTGGTGCAATACGCATTTCTGCTACTATGACCTCATTTAAATGTTTGAAGCACCCAGCAGCATACTGAATTTTGGTATATGAAAGGTTAATTTACAACGATTATAATATTATACGATAAAAGCTGACATATATAATTCAATTAAAATTACTTGAAAATGCTGGCACGCTCGTTTAACTCCCTCAGGGGTTGTCCTATTCTCTGAAACGCCAAGTTGACTATACATAGCACCAATATTGAACAACACACACGCCTTTTCATAATAAAAATTCCGATGAGAAACTATATAAGAGTCATAATTGTAATAATAATTAATTAAGAATCTATGATAATTCTCCATTAAACTATGTTCTATAAAATAATTAATAAAGATAAGTGAATAAATGAACATACTCGGCCTTTTTTCATCGGAAAAAGCTGAATACCAAGGAAATTCTATGCCAAACTATCGGCAAGGAAAATAAATTAATTTTAAGATAACCTACAACAGCAGTAATAATAATCCACCAAACTTACATCAATGGGAAACTTTGATCCGATAAAAACCAATTGTCCATAATATCTGAAATTTTAAAAGAAGTCAAATTAAATTATATTTGAGGTTACTTTTAAAAAAAGAATTCTATAACGATCGTTTTGAGAAAGAAGTAGTATTTAATTAATTAAAATTAAACCAACAACTCACTTTAACAACCGATGGAGGGCGTTCTGATGCACCTCCAAATTCAAACAATCATTTCTTAACTCGTCGAGAACGCGAAAATCATCCGTAAAGTTGTCTGGGTGATCATTGTAATGGTAAGAAATATACTCTCGAAGAGCTGTTGTTAACCCAATACGTTCGGTGCGTTTGAAATCAATAGTAAGAATATTTATGGATCCAGTAGTCATTGTAAAAACAGTTGCTTGGAAATAACAATAATGATAATCAACAAATATATATTTCGGTATTTATAATTAGCCAATCAAATTTAATCCATTTGCAAGACAAAGTTACGCGTTTTCATTGAGAACGAATCTAATTTAATAAAAAATATGCATTTTTAATTTGCCAAAAATGCAAAAAAATAAAATTTATATAGTAAAAATCAAATTTCTATTCTTAAATGGTAAAATAAATTAATGTCACGTGAAATGCGATAAAAATGCGAAAATTATGCACGAATCATTTGACATTGAAATTTTATGATATTTTTAATTTTGGGAGGAATCTTTATTTTTTAATCTCATCCTGAATTCAGTTCAATATCTAATTCATTTTCAATCACTTTTTTAACCAAAGAAGGATCAGCTTTCTCAACAAATATGACCTTCTTTTCTTTTTCCAATAATCCAACAAATTCTTTTGGAAATATACTTTCAAATTTAAATGCTTTGAAATTTTCTAATGCTTTTTCTACCGCTTGGGAGAATTTTGCTGGATGTGCCGTTGCAAGACATATTTGAATTGTATTACTAATTGAAAAAAATGTATAAAATTTATTTAAAATGAAAATTTAGTAGATATGGAAGATATTTGAAATATACTTACGGCGAGATAATCTGTCTATCTGCAGCTGCAACGCCAACCGCTGTATGTGGATCAAGAATGTAAGAAATTTGATCTTTATTTTCTGGTGTGTAATATTTCTGAATAGTACTCAACGTCTAAAATCATAATTTCACCTGTTAATTTCAATTTTTTTTAAAAAAAATATCATAATCTAATAAAAGAAAGATACCTCTTGATCTGAAACCTTTTCACTTTTGAAATCACGAAGTGCAATATCCAACATAGATTTTTCAACTTTTAAACTTTTATTGGTTTTAACATCTTCCATCCACCCTCTAACAATTTTACTAACTTCTTTAATTTTATCTTCTTCTTGAACCTTACTATCTTTATAAGCCAAATACCATAATAATCTTTCAAAATTACTTGAGATAGCAATATCCATAGCAGGACTTAAAGTTTCTTTAACAAATTTCCCGCTCTCGCTTTTTAACTTTTCATACCTGCCATTCTTAAAAAATCTGTCTAATATATCATTAGAATTAGTTGATGCTATTAAATTATTTATCGGCAAACCCATTTGTTTTGCGAAATATCCTGCCAATATATCTCCAAAATTTCCTGTTGGTACACAAAATTGAAGTTGAATTTCTTTTGCTTCATTTGATTCTGTCGTAATATTTAATGATTTAATTAATTGAAAATATGAGTGGTAATAATATACTATTTGTGCTAATATCCTTGCCCAATTTATTGAATTAATCGCGCCTAAATGATGTTTTTCATTGAATGGGCTGTCCGCAAATAAGTTCTTTACAATATCCTATGTAGTAAAAAGAAGAAATTTTTTTTTAAAACTTAACCATCACTTTATTTAATGAGTTATACAAACATACCTGACAATCATCGAATGTACCCTCAACTGATAAATTATGAACGTTTTTATCCAATACTGTTGTCATCTGAGCTTCTTGAATTGGTGATATTTTACCATGTGGATGAAGTATAAATACCGAAATATTTTTTTTCCCTCTCAAGCCGTAAATAGCCGCGCTACCAGTGTCTCCACTAGTAGCTCCTAATACAGTTATTCTATCTTTGTTTTCCTTTTCTTCATTCTTTTTTTCTAATAAATATTCAAATAAATTACCAAGAAATTGTAATGCAACATCTTTAAAAGCAAATGTTGGTCCATGAAATAATTCTAGAACATAAAAATTTTCTCGAATTTTTTTTAATGGTGTGATTTCATTAGATCTAAACGTTGAATATGATTTATTAATTAACTGTTCCAATTCTTTACGTGAAATTTCTTCCGTTGGAATATATAATGAAAATATCTCAAGTGCTAATGAATTAAATGTTAAATTTGACCAATCTTTACGCCAATTCTCTGGCAAGGCTGGTATATTTGTAGGAATAAATAATCCCCCATCTTCTGCTAAGCCTACTAAAACAGCTTCCGAAAATGAAAGAAGCTTGAGTGATCCTCTAGTTGAACGATATTTCATTCTAGTAATTGTTGATAGTATAATTTATACAAAAAAAACGAATGTCTAGAATGGTTTTCAATAAAATAAATAAGGATAATTTTGTTAAATAATGACGCGAAGAATAAATTATTGAATGAATGAATGGATGGATGGAACGAACGGTAACGATAAGTATTAGATTTTTTTTATTTGAAGTATTATTTATTTATTCTCAATCTCATGTGAAAATCAGTCACGTTCTATGTGACAAAATTAAAAAAGACATTTATCAATTATTCATCACTAGATCGATTTCAATTACATCGAATTATGAATTATAATTGGTTAATTACATCTATCGGAATTGACATTATAAAAATGGGCCGGTAATTTAGGCCAGTTGACATCTGAGGCAAATCGACACCTGACGCACAACTTATATATTGGACCTATGCCAAAAATGATTTTTAGGCTAAAATATGTTCAAATTCTAGTTTTTCCCGGTAGTTTCTTCCTTTTCTATTCTTGCATATAAACAGTCACTAAAATTTTATTGTTACACACGTGATATATTGAAATTTAATTTGCTTGTTTTAATTCAATTTTATTTGAAGTCATTAGCATATAATATTGATAATCTCGAGTTCTTTTTTTTTAAAAAAAAATTATAAATATAAATATAATATAGATTACAATAATTTATGATGATTTTCCCAATACCTAATTTATTAGGTAACCAAATTAGTAAAAAAAAAAATCGATATATTAATTTCAAGGATATGTATAAACGAAAATAACTTACCAAAGCCAATAAAGCCATTCTTACAAACATTCCATATTTCATTTGTCTAAAATAAGCAGCTCTATCATCAAAATCCACTTCAGGATCAATCTCATTCATTCTAGGTAAAGGATGCATAACAATCATATTTGACTTAGCATTACTTAAAGTAGCATTATTAATTATAAAATAATCTTTAACCATCTCATATTCTGATAAATCCAAGAAACGTTCACGTTGCATTCTAGTTACATATAATACATCTGTAGTAGATATAACTTCATGTAAATCGGAAAATTCTCTTTGATCTATACCACCTTTACGAATTTCATTTTTAATTTCATCCGGCATACGTAATGAATTAGGACTAACGTAGTTTAAAGTTACGTGATAATGCGATAATACTCTAACTAAACTATGAACCGTCCTTCCGTTCTTTAAATCCCCTACTATAGTCACTGTTAATCCATTAACGGTACCCAATTCTTCTCGAATTGTATACACATCAAGGAATGCCTGTAAAGATATTTTAAAACATTAAGAATTTGAAAGCACGTGAATTCACAAATACTTTATACATACCTGAGTAGGGTGTTCTCCAATACCATCACCAGCATTTATTATAGGAACAGGTGAATATTTTGCTGCAACCTTTGAACTGCCCGGTTCTGGATGTCTTAACACTATAATATCACCATAAGAACCTACAGTTCTTACAGTATCACCTAACGTTTCTCCTTTCGCTACTGAGGATACATCCGTTTTAACTGAAACCACGCGCCCTCCTAATCTATTCATAGCAGCTTCAAAAGAAGCGGAAGTCCTCGTTGATGGTTCGTAAAACAAGGTAAACATTACACGTCCTTGTAATAGATTAATTGAACCATAACGTTCTACTAAGGTACGCATTTCATATGCAACAGCAAACAATAAATGAAGATCATTTCGCGTGAATTCCTTGACTGTGAGAATATTTTTACGGAAAAATGACGAATGGCTAATCATAGATACCAGATTCCTAAAGGTTAAATAAAAAAATAACATGAAAAATGTTAATCGTAGCTTATAAATTAAAAATGAACAAAGATAACTTTTAAATTTAAATGGTATTTACGTAGGTAAATTAGCATGAGGGAGTTCAAAGGAAGAAAAATCCAACGCTATTGAATTTGATCTAAGCTCTCTAGGTCCCATAGGAGGTGACATCACGTCGGCTAAATTACTAGCAACAAATTGAGAGGTTTGTGGAGGAACCACTTGTTGTTGTACTTGAGATGTTGATTCTTTAACAGTTAATGGCTCTTTAACAGCAGGAGCTTTAAGAAAAATAACGTTTCCATTATTACCAGAGGAGAATAATCCACCATCAAGATATACGGTCTCTCCCCTTAATACTACACGACTCACTGCGCCAACGAGAGTTTTACCAATAAATGGTGACCAATTTTCTTCTCTTTGTGTAATCAAAACTTTACGATCAATTTCGACTTCAACATAAGTATCGGGTTGTTTTGGTATATTAAATATATTCTGTGGATTCGTATAAAAACGTTTTTGAATATCCTCTAATGATAATAATCCTTCATTAATAGCATTTGTAAGTAGCGGTATTGTATCTTCTATTCCTATACTTGCTGTATTATTCTTACCAAATGCTTGAGCAAGATTATAGGGTAGCGTGCCAACAGTGAAACAATCAATATCCTCTAAATGTTCCCATAAAGCAGATTGGTCGGCAGGAGTTGGAAGTAAATTTTCGCTATTTGGGATTACTTTTGTATTCAAAAATAATGCATATACAGCAACATCACAAGTAACTTTTAATCCCTTTTCTTTGCTCAAAGCTATTAATACAATATCTTCTTTAGTGCTAACACTTGTTACATGAATAGCACAATTATGAAAATTAGCTAATAATAAAACAGTTGCCAAATCAGATCCTTTAGCATCAGTTACAATAGGTGAAAGTAAAGGCCAAGTACTAAAATGTTTGGATATAGTAGCCATCTTTGGTATGGTCACTCCTTGAAGATTTGTAAATGGAATAAATGGAATAAATGATGAATCAGGTTCCTGCACGACCTTTGTCAATTGCAATGAATTATTTTCAGTCACAACTATCGATAAAGAATAATCACAGTGTGCA